TTACAACCATATTTAAAAAGAATTCTGTATCCTGAAACTCACAGATTTGCCGTATTTTATCGCTTCTTGCCAAATCTTCTTCTTGTCAGAATCGGTAGTCCATGCAAAAGTCGAAAAAACTTTGTCAGATGTGTACATATAAGTATAATATGCGGGAAGAGCTGCACTACTAATAGTCTCCTGAACGACGGTATTTAAATCAAATGAAAAGAATTCAATTAGAAGCCGTTAACTTCAAAAAATTCCTAGAATTACATTGTAGGATGTCATCGAGGCATTTGTGTACTGCTCAAGGGCAGACTGATAATGCATTCCAGTGAACAAAACATGCCGAAAACCATTTTTGCTGAAGTCGAAACTTATTAAAAGACATATAGTTATCAGAACGAATTATAGGATGCAAGCGCGACATACCCGTTTTCAGGCTTTAGCCTATCAACGTCGACCTCCAGAGTTTTTGACAGTTCCTCAGCGGTCTTTTCACCTTTTGCTATCTGAATAGTAAGACTGAGTCGAAAATTGCTGAAGTCCTAGCAATAATAAACCTAAGAACTCACAGCGGATTTGGCTTTCAGAAGGGTGGAATGAAGACCGACAGGGTCAACGGCGAAAAAATCCGCGGATGTGACCACCGTGAACTGCTGACCTTCTTCTGTTTGATCAAATGTAACGTAATAAATTTCCGATTCAGAAAATTGTTCGGAGAACAGAAGGACGCCTTAAACAAAAAGAAATACTACTAACAAACTAAACGTGCGTCAAAACAAAGTTTTCAAACGGAAAAAGGAAAAGCATACCAACCTCTTTCAGTGAAGAAAACCACATGCCCATTGGACATTCCGACAGCCACTATTAAACAATCAAGGGCCTCAGAAACTCGATGAGTGCCCAGTCCAAAAAGACAGCCACATGTGATATTGTCCTAAATTCATACACCTTTTTCAAAGGTCTTTGATCAGTTAGGTTCCATTACTAAAATGCTATCCGGCGTAAAAACCCCACCTCATTTGCAAATCCTAACTGATAGTCCAACTCTTTGAGGCATCTGATCTCCAAGTGGTTATCGTCTAATGCTGACCTGAAAAAAGGGTCAGCAGTACAAAATTAGCCCTTTCTTTCACCTGTCGGAAAATGTGAAATGTATCACTTGCCTGGTCAATATTGCAAACCGTTGTTGATTAAGTAATAACACATAGTCCAGAGAATTGTATGTGATCACATAGCATTGAGACAGCCATGCTAACGGTGCATCCGTGGTGGATTCAGGCGAAAGTGGAACCTGGAGATAAGGTAATGTTCTTTTTGCTGAATCGATTCTCTAGGGTTTCTATAAGAAAAAAAGCTTTGTGATTATCCACAGATTGGACGGATTAGTGGCAGGATAAGAAATCAAGAAGTCATTCCTAAACCGTCCATGCTACCGTTTAAAATCGTTTTTGCGGATAAAAGAGACGACAAATGACTATATTCTATCCATGTCCCACTTTTCATCAATTTTTACACTTCCTACTCACTTGATATAAACATATTTTATTTTTATCAATTAACTCGTAATTCGAAATGCTTAGCAGAGATGATGGATACACCTTACCTACCTACCTAGGATAGGTGTATCCATCATCCCTGCTACCTAGATACCCCAGGATAAGCATGCAACCATGATTCGATAAATACTGCTTGCCTCTCACCTCATGACTTATCGAATCGCTACGCTAACAAGGAATTCCAAGCAGAAGCAACCTTGACCTCGGATTGCACTTCGTTCATTGAACCGTTAAAAGTTCAGGCTATTAGAGTAGCTCCAGAGTTAACAGAGCTCAGCAGCGTCTCCTACTTTTTTCTTCTTCACAAGCACTCGAGCGAAGCGATAAACCGATGAGCTCTAGGCCACTGTCGAGCCTGACACTCCAAGCATTATGCGCCTCAACAATTCTTTGATTATTATAGAAATTAATGAAAACTGCCATTTCAAGTATAACTTTGGGTGTAATCCTTCTGAGAGGCCTGAAAGTCTCCTCCACTCTACAAGCAACTTCATAGCAAAGAATCAGAAATCGGCCTTGGATCAAATGTGCGGTCTCATGGGAAAAACATCTGCTTTAGAGTTTAGTAAATATCAGAGAAAACGCCTAAAAATGCTAGACTCGGCAGACCTGCTCTGAGATGTTCCATTCCCGTACACCAGCAGGTTTCTCAGAATCTGGTGGGTCATCGGCTTCATCACTGCTAGTACTTACGCTTCGCTTGACAAAGCGATCTAAAAAGTTCATCTAGAAAGAGTACTAAACCGCACCGAAATGTTTGGGAAATGAGGGTTAGCCTTGGCTTTTCCAGTCTTGATGTGAAAACGCAAACTCACGTGATTCTTCATGATCGCCGCCCAGCAAATAGTTCTTTACTTTATCGGCTACTTCTTTTTCCAAGAATAAATTATGCTCTAGATTGAAAGAAACGGCCATAAAAATCACTATATTCCTTTGTAGAAAAAATTATATCAGCTGTTTAAATGCTTTCGTGGAATGTTCTGTGAAATCCTGAAAACAATCGAAGAATTTCTTTGAAAGAATAGGATGCTAAGAAAAACGCCACCGAATAGGAATAGCATTAGCATGAACTAATAAGGAAGGTAAAATCAAATTGAGTTCTTAGAAGAAACAAACTAAATGGAGGCAGAAGTAAAATGTGATTGAAGCTGCGATTGGTCCAACGAAAATTCGCCTTAGAGCATGGATGCGCAAGTCCACCGCGGTCATTCCACCCTACCGTATTCAATAAGAGGTTGAGCAAAAGCTATGTTAGCCATTTATGGTATTCACATCAATTATTCATATGGAAACAGTTACGTCAACACAAAGTGATGGGCCACAACTTGTATTACAAGACGGTCATATCCCCCGGTTAAATACCCACCCATATCAATCATGGTTTTCATCTGTGTGGGTGATTGGCAAAAACTTCAGATGGGATTAAACGATCTCTTTCATATACAATGGTTTATGGTAGAGTTAACTTTGTAGGATAAATTACACATTCAAACGACACTGCGATTTTAAGTGGAAGTCCGAATCTTGCTGCGATATTCGTCCACTATGGGAAAATGGCTATTGGCGGTTCTGGCAAAATCCTGAACTTATACATATAATCGTGTGTTGTGAACACTCAGTTTAATCACAAGAACCTTTTGAGCTCTACAGGAATCTTGGGGGAAGTACGTGTCGCGAGATGGGCAAAGACGGGCGATGAATGAGAAGCCACAGAAGTTTCCAATTTTTTCTCGAATTCTACAAAGTGGTTATAATCGAAGCTGTTAGAGGCAGAAATTAGTAAGGCGGAGAATTTCTTTTCAGACACTTCCTTGTACCGCAGCAACGAACAGGTCGACCAAAAAAGCTGAACGGGTCGTGGCGTTAGTTGGAACCTACAGAGGGTGGGATCACCATTACCCACAGCTGAAACAAGTCTCCTGTTGGTGATTTGATGTGCTGGTGACAATTCTGTCAGAAATGTGAAACTGCTCTCTATTCTTTATGAGAACCATTTCATACGCACCCCAAATAATATCTCCCTGTCTTTGAACAAACGTCGAATGTATGGCGTATTCCATGGTCTGGTAAGATGCTAGGGGTTGTGTGCCTCTCTCTGGCTTGCCCACAAACCGCATGGATCGCTCCCTGGACTGTCTTCAAGCCGAATTTCTCATTTTTCTACCCATGCTCTGGCAGTAGGCAACTCTGACTTTGAACCGATTTAGTTTTCTCCAGAAGTTGCTTTTCACATCGTCTTGCTTGCCGTTGACTCCCGTTTTGATGCAGACGCAGCTATAACCATAGAATTTCCATAGAACTATGAAAAGTTAGTCCGCCCCACCCCTAACCTCCTAACTCATTTCATCCCCTTCAGGCTGATTTTCAAAAAAACCAGTTTCCCGATGAGTACTAATACATGCTCTTCCACTGCCATTTCAACACGAAGCAAATTCTGATGCATGGCGCACCCAGAAGACATTGCCCAGTACTATAGTGTGTTAGTACAAGTAGGGATGAGTATCGAGGACATGTATGCAGTGTCCGAACGATTGCCCGTTTCATTTTTGCGTGTCGGTGTTCGAGGCTGTTGAGGATTGTTGACTCGGTGGGTGGGGACAGACGGACGGGTAGCGGTGTTGGTGGTGCATTGTCGTGATTCCTCATAGCTCCCCACTCTAGAGACCTTCGAGACAACGATGATCGTCGAACATCAGTCCCCTTAACAGGTGAATTCCATTTACTCGAGCCATTACTACTTAGGACTTCATTTACTTCGCAATTTTTAGTTGTATACGTGAACTTTTTATGGTTTTTGGATTTGATTGTTTACGGATCAATTACTATTCACATTCCTACTATTCACACTTTATTATGGCAATAGTTCTCGAGAGAAAACTTTTAAAAAAACCTATTCAAGTCAGTGTAGGACTGTTTTGATCTTGAACTGAAGAAATAATTTTTTCTATTTCCGAAAAAACGGGAAAAAACATATTTAATCCAATTATTATGTAGTTTTTGCCAGTTTTTCTTTTCCCACTGAACATCTCATTTCTATGGAGCTCTCAATCAAAAGTGCCAAAAGTAGCTACTAAAAGTTAACGCCAACTCCGTAATATGTGGGGCATGGATAGCATAATGGGAAGAAAATTTCGAACGAGTCGGACATCGCCAAGGGTTCAATCCCCTGAAATCATGGGTCAAGCTCAGTGAAAGTTAACAAGCCAACTGAGAACTTGTCAGGCGTAGTAGGTTTTTCAGATAATCTCCACATAGCGACATATCCATGCTCATATTGATACTTTGTTGACCCTAATCATTTTGAACTTCGAAAAAGTGAAAATAATTGATTTTAGTGAACACCGTAATCCTTTTGGAATATTGTAGCCGACATCCGGTTACTGCTCTACCTCATTTGCCTTACTGACTAACTTCTACAAAAACATTTTTTCATGACTTTCACAAAAACCTAAATTCAATGGAAAGCAGTAACGTAAAGTTGAAGTAATTAGGGTTAACCAACATCAAGGATACGTCCTGTATTTGACTTCTTTGGAACTGTGAAATTTCTAGCTTCGGGTGTAAAAGTAATGATTGTGTCAGTTTGCTGGCCGATTGTTAATAGTACAATCCTTATTTCGTTATCGTTAATGAATAAATAAATAAATAAATAAATAAACAAGTAGGTAAATATTCGAACAAGTAGTCCATAAGTAAAGAAATCATTAACATGTATGTTAAGTATAGCGATCTATTTTCTCAAGCCGTCGACCATCGTTTTTGAGGGAAGATAAAAGGCTCACATAGCTCAAACCAGATCCGATCAGTAGGCTGTCTAATGCCATCGCACTTCTTTTATTTATGCTATTCTTATAACGTCTTATAACGTATTAGATATCAAACATTGGCGTTCCTTCCTCCCACTGGCTACTTTTCCACGAAACTCAAAAAATAGGAGAGAACAGGGATTTACGGGCTCGTTCAGGGTACCGGTTTGTGGCGGTGCTGGCACAAGTATAGTCAGTCCAAAGGATAGGTTAATGGCTGCTATAGTTGACAAAAGTAAGAGAAAGTATTTTTATATGGATGGACTGGCTGGCAAGGTCAGAGAACCATACAAATGGTGCTATGGGTTCTAAAAGTGCTTGGCGCGACTCCGAACGGTTTCTGTTAACTACGAAAGCTTCGATTTTCTGTGCGAGTTCACGTTTAATCAGCGTAGCCACTTTTTTCTGTCCACATGACGACTTGAGCCTGCCCGTTCTGTTGACTTAAGCCCTTTACTAATTCTTAAGATTTTTCATCCGAGATATTGAAAAAAATATCCATTTAAAGAAACTTGTAAGAACTTCTGATAGCAGCGTTTCTATTCTGTACGCCTTTTTCTTTTCAAACTGGTTGCTCGTCGAAATCCTCGTCCCTAAACTAATTTCATGGTTGAGTAGGGGTGGTGCCAAGTGGTCCCTCGACGATAGGGGATCGCTATGGAAATTAACTTTCTGATCGAGAATACTCAGGAAGTAATCCCATAATGGGAATGAATCATTACTGAGATCCTTATCACTAATCCTGTCTAGAATTCAGACGCGGTGAGAGGGATAGGGTCCCAACTGTTATCGAACGCACGAGCTGGAACGTTGGCGCTGAGCCCTTAGTAGGACAATCACCAGGTCCATGCATTCATCACTGACGGGTTTAGTGTTTACCCATTTCATGGTGGAAAACGAGCACACAGAAAAAGTGGAAGAAGAACTAAAACTAAGAAAAAATATCAGAAAAAGACTTCTTTCGGATCTGGTTTTTGCACGGTAGAGAAAGAGACTAGTTCAGACCACCAGTCATTTCTAGACAATTTTCCGAAGATCCACATAATGTCGTGGCCATGAAAATGGAGTCTAGAATTCTTTTCCTTCAATACTTTTACCCCTATTTTTTTCTTATCAATATTATGCTGATTTTCAGTTTTTTTTATTTCTACCTTTGGCACAGATTCAGGGGTGGGGACATTAGGTTCACTTTTTTGTTATGCACCCCTCTGCTGTGGAAAAGCGGTGTGAGCTAGTTCGATACCTTCGGTCCCGTTCATGGGTAGTTCAATCCCTCTGTGTGTACAGCATTGCCAGCCTAACCTCCAATACTTACGAAAGTGACTTTGAGAGGATTTAATGGTAGGACTCATTCTGAAGATCATGACCCTAATCAGACCCACTAAAAACAAGAAAGTAAGAGTGCTCTAGAATGATAAAATTCGAATATATTTGTTTTTGTAAATATTGTTTTCAGATGCTTTTTTGGTTGCTGTCCTGCATTTCGAGGGCAGCCGTAAGCGCAACGACTATCTGCCCACATCCGTTTATTCCCCAAAATGGCCACGTGGTCTTTGATGCACCAGCGCCATATTTTCTTAATACCGTAGCCAAATACAGGTGAGTTTTCTGAAGTATGAATGTGGTGTAAAACTGATTATATAACTAAATTTAGTTAAAATTGACAAATAGTCCGTTAAAGGCTGTCGCGGGCTGCCTAGGCACCTAAGACTGAACATCTGCCAAACAGCCGGTTTTTTCGAAAATTTCGTCTTTTTTTCAACCTATCAGACAAAAAATAAACAAATGAATAAAGAGGTAAATATATATTGCCCACGTACAACTACACAAGGGATATTTCCAGTTGTGCCCCGGAATTTGAAAAAGTCGGTGGTACCGACGAAAGAGTATGTTCGTCGACTGGCTCATGGAGCGGTGAAGCACCGGTGTGTGCAATCGATGTTGCTGCCGGTAAACCGGCTTTCCAGGTAGCCCATCCCATTTCTCATTATGGAAAATTTTTAGTCAGCTTTCCCTTATATCTGGATTTTGAAAGAGATTCTTTTTAGTCATCTGGGACTTCCTTCTATTTTCCTTCTCGAGGACTTTGCACTGTCACCGACAATACGACCGGATCATGGTGGTACGTTTTGTATGAAATTCCCAAATGGGGTCCACAAATCGCTCACGACGCCTGCATAGTATAAACGGAGCAAATTCTCTGGGTAATAACTAACGGCAAATGACAGACAGACACTTCTGGATGATGGCTTCTGATGATGATCAGGGAAGAAATCGCGTATTTTTGAGCTGTAAATGGTTTTTAAAATAGTCCAAATCTTCGGGAACTTATATTTGAATAAATTAAACTCTACAGAATTCGTTAAACTCTCATAATAAACAAAAAATTTCATCAAGTAATTTTTAGAAGTCTTCACTTTGCGGTTAGTAAATCATATCAGACTTCCAGAAAGTGATTTTTGATTAGAAGGAACACAATTTAAGCAAATTTTTAAGGGAAGTCGATCTACTCAGTCCATATTCTATTCATGGTGTAGCGATTCGGCTTGGTAAACTGACATCATCGATTCTAAACGTATATCTGATTCAAGAAAATGGTGACCTTCACGTGAGTTCTCTACAAGCCCTATGTGACTTTATTTTCTCTTTAAAATTACTGTCCACATTTATCGTTCTATCGAATACCAGCCTAGTGAAAAGATTTTTGCCGAGGCTTCCTTCAACTATTTATTTACTAACTTTTTATTGTTAGCTTATTTACTTATGTTTCCTTGTTTGTTTATTTCTTTATGTCTTCATACACCCACCCACTGGATTCATGCTAGTCTAATAAAGGACCGTAAAAACATGCAAAGCAACCCAAACGGAAACCAGACCAAGTCAGCAGTGGGTGGCAGGAACTGCTCGTTGTATCATGTTTCATAGTGTCGCTTCCAGCCAAGTTGACTACAATGAGGTTTCCGAGGTTTCTGGTCCGGTTCCCAAAGGGCCACGTTCATTCCAAAAATAACTTAATGACCAATTTCGCGCTATGGCTTCATTATGAGGATATCCGACAGAAAAAGACTAGGACTGGAGTAAAAACGTTCGTTGTTTTTTGTTGTGATGGGGGTATGTACACAATCTAATGCCCCTGAGAAAGTAGGGAATGACGCTGACACAGGAGTTACCCATGCTAACGAGGAAAGGCGGTGTTATCACCGAGTAAATATTTACCTATTTGTTTACGTAGTGCACGCACGGGTGCGTTAGGGTAAAAACTCTACAAGCTTAGATTATCACACACATACGTAATGCTAAAGCAGTCATCACATAGACAGATAAGCAATTCAGCAGTAAAGCAGTAAGCAAGGGGGGGGGGGGGGGAGGGGTTGCTTACATAAGTACTTAGCGGAAATACTTTCGAGTCATCCTCCAGGAGTAATGGTGAAACTTACGGTTGTTCAATCAAGAACGGACTATGTATTATACATTGGAGAAACGACTCTCTTAGACATAAACCACTTTGATAAGGAGTAAAAGATTGAGGTTCAGGACGCTACGTGTCCCTTACCTCCAAGGATTCAACTAGGATCTGTTGGTGAAAAGGTCCCAATTCCAAAAGGCGCTCTCAAGTGATTATGCAATATATTACAAACGATTATGAAGAAGAACTTTGCCACGGCTCTCAATCTTTTCTATGATTTCCATGGAACGAGCGAGTAAAACCGTTCAAAAAACGTTATTTTTTTTGGCAAAGGTAAAACCATCAGCAAAAACAACAGCCGCATAGCTTATATCTGCAGAAATTTTCCTTCGCCTTTTCTTCAGTCCTAGATCCAGCTCTTTTCGGAGCCTATTCAATAAACATGGACGTTTTTAGGTATGTGATACCTCTGGTTATTCTTTCCTCGAGAACACGACCGTGTATTTGCATTGCGAACTAGATGAAGTCGAAAAAGTTAGAATTGTGGCCGAACACCGACTTCATCTTTGTGAAGCTCGGATCTATGCAGTCGATGCGGGTAAATTTCCAGTTGTCCTACTTTTTTAGGAATCAGATAAAGTACAACATTTTTTCCACAATTTTTATTTAGTCAGGTTTTTACATATTTTAATCTTGTCTGTTATTGTATTGCATTATATTATATTATATTATATAATATTTATTATATTATATTATATTATATTATATTATATTATATTATACTATATTATATTATATTATATTTATTATATT